GCTTGCTCACCAGAAAGACACAGAGAAACAGAGAAACAGAAAGTGAGAAATCACCCTCCCCCCACAAGGGGGATGGCCATGCCGCAATCCCTTTTTCTCCATTCTCCTCTCAGGATCTTGGGTACACATGCACACGCACCCGGCGTAGTTTAAGACACCGGGTCCAGGACCTGAACTGTGTTCGACTACATGGGAGTCCAGCGACATAGCCATTACGCCAACTGCTGGTCCCGCCTTTAGGTGATATAAGAGATGAAGTAAATAATCTCTACAAAGTTCTTTTAAATTGTAAGGAGGCAAATCAAAATTTCATCTAAGAAAGGTTTAATGTTCACTATTATAATTTTATGGCTAGCATCTGCCTTTTAGTTCATTTCATATTTACTTTGATCTATGTATAACTGTGTCCATGTATTGGGTTGTCAGGAAAGTCGTGAGGTATTTTTCTATACTTTTCTATGTGAAAATGTATCATGACTTTTCTCAAAACCTAGTACTTAGGCCTGTTACAGGAGTTGGAGCAGAATTTGTCCTTTTAAATGCTTACTGAGACTCATCGCCATCGTATTGGTGCCATTACCATACATTATTAGCTATGTCTGGGTTTTTTTGAGATCACATCCTTGGTCAAAAAGGCACCACCTCATTCTAATATTGTTCCTGGGGGAAATACAGTCTTTATGGCATGGTTTCCAGTTCTCGTTGTGATGAGAGGTCAGCGCTGCCGGCATCCTGATGTAATTTTTATCTGTCTTCATGAAAGAGTTATAAACCAAAGAGAAATGGATGATGGTGTTTCCCTTGCTCATAGCTGGCAAAAGATAGCTTCATGGAAAGCACACTAAATTGCTGTTTAAAAAATGAGTTCTGTCTCTTGCTCTGCAACTGGCTCGCTCTCTATATGACCTTGGGCCAGCCACTTCATCCTTCTGAACCACAACATCTCCCAGTTAAGCGATGAGGTTGAGCTAATGTTCTCCCACCTTAAATAGACCATTATTCAAACCTCAGCTCTTTGCCTAGCAGTCTTTCAGAAACTGTAGCTGATGTCATCATCTTTATCATTATTATCATTTTTAATACAGATTGAATATATCTATCCAAGATAATTTAGGCCCAAAGTGCTTTAGATTTTGGAACATTTGCATATGTATGATGCATATACAATATATTGCATACATATATACATACATATATTGCATACATATAAATATCTTGCAGATGGGACCAAAGTCTAATAATGAAATTTGTTTTATATACACCTTATACACATATTCTGAAGGTGACTTTATACTATTGGGTTGTCTGAAAAGTCATGATGTATTTTTCTGTCTTTCTATGCAAAAATGCATCATGATTTTGCCAACAAGAAAATATATTTTGTTTTGACTGCAGCCCATATTACGAGGTCAGCTGTGGAATTTTCCACTTGTTGTGTCAGGTTGGAGCCCAAAAAGTCTTAAAATCTGTTGTATTTTGGATATTCCCTACCTCAAGATCAGATAGTAGTGTGGTGGTTGACACACCTGGATCCCACATAGCTGACTGTGTGGTTCAAGTACCAGACTTGGCGGCTTGAAAAACTCATGGGGGGGAGTGCGTGTACGTGTCCAAAATCCTGAAAGGAGGGAGAGATGGAGGAGAAGGGATTGTGGCGTGACCATGCCCCATGGAGGATATTTCCTCTCTGCTTTTGTCTCTCTCTTTCTCTGTCTCTCAGCAAGTGTACATGCCCTCTGGATATTCACTTGGGTCTGTTTTTTTAGCCCTTTCTCCTTGAGTTTATTTTTGCGATATTAATTTCTGCGCATGTTGCTAACTTCATAATTTATATTGTTCTAAGGCAATACAGGACATTGAAGAAGAATGGGCCAAACCCACAGAGGCACAGAGGCAGAAATTAGAGGCATTCCAGAAGGAAGATAATCAAACAAAGGTGAATCAAATATTGTACCGAGAGAAATCCCTTGGAAGGGAGTTAAAGAAACATATTGGAATTGAACTGTTTCTATAAATTATAAACCTATTGAGGACTAAACGTGGAGCTCTTTTTCAAAATGAGAAGACCTTCATGGGTTTTCTGATTATAGACTTAATAAAAGCGCATTGTTTAAGGAGTCTGAAAAATCCAGACAGTATATTGTGAGTCCTTTGCCAAGCTAATTAATATAGATCTTGATATTATTTTTAATGACTACAGAGTATCCCATTTTATGGTTATATTATTGTTTAGCTAACCTTTTTTCTATTATTGGAAGTCAGGTTGTTTCTGGCCCATGCTGCTATAAATCACTGTGGCAGCAAGCGTCCTGAGGCCCGAGACTGTGCTGATGTATACACAGTCTACGAATTTTCAGCACCTACTACCGTTCCTGGCTGAAGGTCCCTAAGCACTGCAGCCAATATCCCCTGTCTTTGGGGATACGTTCTGTCATTTCTTACGATGTGTTTCTAAACATTCATTTTTAAATCTTCCATAAAGATGCTATCAACTCACATACCTCCTGCCTCAAGCAGTGTGTCTGAGTCTCACAAACAGGGCATATTTTAACAGCAGCAATGGCCTCTGCTTCATTGCCTTGCCTTTTTTATTTTTTAGACATCACCAGCATTCACCATTACAGCATTGATTTTAAACAAAATGTAGCCAAAATTTAGAAGACTCATTTAGACTTAGGTTGATGCAGAAAGTAAATCTTTGCGGGTCTGTGACACTTTGGGATTTTTATTGATGGACTGAGAAAAGAGCAAAAAGGGGAAAGGCATATACTGCTGAGACCTAGTGTTTTCCTCCCGTTCTACTGACCTTAGCCTTGTCGCAGAAAGTTTGGAATTAAATTTCTCTGTGTGTTTGTATCTTGATAGGTAGACTATTGTTGCAACTCTGGGCACAATTACAGATTGCATATGCCACCACCAATTCGAAGCACATATCTGTTCTAGAAATTTTTTAATATAGTAAGAATGCTGTTTTTACCATGCTCCTGTGCTTTGCCAAAATGTGTATTTGTATTTTTCATAAAAAATTGATCTTTCAAGATCCTTTTATCATAATGATCTTTCCAAAATGTTGAGTATATAAATTAATGAAAAAAATGGGGTGATTATTGAGATTAACTTCTCTCTAAGCATCTAATATGAGCAGTGTTATTTAAGTGTCTGTGAAGTCAGTTCTCCTGCTAATGGAGCAAATGCATGAACAACTATTTCATGACTTTATGTTCATGTCCGAAAAAACTTTGGGATGAAAATGAATTAAATTAACTTAAAGATGAGTCATTTGAGCTAAGTCAGAGGTAAGCTCACTATGGCTCATGGGCCACTGTTTTTGGAAATAAAGTTTTATTGGCACGTGGTCATATCCATTCATTACGTGCTGTCTAAAGCTGCTTTTGTGATGGTGGCAAAAGTGGACAGTTGTGGTAGAGATTATTGCCTGGAAAAACAAAAATATTTACTATATGGCTTTAACAGAAAAGTTTACCAACCCCTGATGTAAATGAAAATATAGGAACATACCTTGTATGGCTATATATAGTAAATTGTCTTTTTTAGGTATAATCTCTTAAAAGAACTAATTTTTCAAGTAGGTAATCCTTGCATATTTCTGATTTTTACATAGTTAGTAATATACAGTACCCTATTCTTGAATGATAAATGCCAACAATCATGTTGAGTAAGTTACTTATTTGTCCCCAATATATTTGCATAATGGGACTTCACTTTTAATTATCAAACACTTTCATTTCTTTTAGCCAAAACATTTTCTTTTAGAATCCAAAAATTTATTGCAATTTTAAAGTGTTAGTAAATAAGATGAGCAATTATAGATTTATACCTTGTAGTAACAAAGAAAGTATTGTTGCAAGGACTTAAAACTGCTCTCTCTTGGAACCAGCACTTGGCATAATGGCTATGTCACTGGACTCCCATATAGTCGAGCACAGTTCAAGTCCCAGACACAGTAGCTTAAACTCACACCAGGCGTGTGTGCATGTGTGCCTAAGATCCCGAGAGGAGAATGGAGGAGAAGGGATTGTGGCGTGGCCATTATCCCTGGGATGGGGTGGGAGTGATTTCTCGCTTTCTGTCTCTCTGTCTCTCTCTGTCTTTCTGGTGAGCACACGTGCCCTATAGCAAAAACCTCTCAACCTCTCCCCCCGAAAAAAAAACCCCTGCTCTCTCTGTAATGCAACTACAGTCCTTGACCAGACCCCTGTGCATGTGCCATGTACTCACAACCTGCCTTTGCTAATGTCTCTCACTGTCCCAACTAGAGGCCAGGCAGCTCATCTCCTAAGCTGAAGCGTGGACCATGGCACAAGGAGCTAGTAACAAATAGCTTTGAACACTTGTCCTGCCCATGTGAAATCAAGAGTCAGCCATCCTGGGCATAGTCCACTTTGTCAGGAAGCACTTACATAGTCTAAGGTGGAGGCATCAGTGACCTTCTTCAGAAAAGGATCAGGGAGAAACCAGGCTGTCACTGGATGGTCTTCTTTTTGATGAGCCCTGTATTGAGAACTCTGTTCTCACGTATCTGCACGCCACTTAGCCATGGTGAAATCTAGAAGACCAAGGTGGAGGTCACCAAACCAATATCAGCTTATTTAAATACAGTCAATAATAATGCTTTGTTAAAAGATGGAAAATCCCGGCTAGCTGTTAACAAGACAGGATGCCGGGCCCACAGGTGTGAACTGCAGCTGTCCTCCTGAATCTTGGGTCAGTTTAGAAGCAGAGGGAAAACCTAAACCTTAAAAGCAACATAAAAGTACTCACTTGGCCTTTGGGGGCTGTCTAGAAAGCAGACCTCCTCAGGTCCTCATTTCATGCCATTCCAAAAATCTCTCTCTGTGACAGTTAATAACACCATCGCACAAGCAGCCGGCAGAAATGAACTACTTTCCCTCCTACGCAGATCTCAGTGTCGTTTTTAAAAAAGACATTTAAAATGTACGTTTCTCATTTACATTGCTATTACAATCTGCTGAGATAGAATCATATCTACTTTTGATTCTATTCACTTCACTCTTCACTCACTCATCTCATATGTCCATTCTCGCTAAGTACCAGGCGCTGGAGCGGGAGCAGGAACACGATGGTGATTGTGTCAGGAGTGGTCCCTGCTCCGCAGGACACACCGTGAACTTCCCCAGGGCTGTGTCCAACACAAGGGGCGGTGTCTTCATTACGGTCCAGAAGAAAGGGCACTTCACTGCGACTCAATTCTGTGTATTCCACTAGAATGACAATGGCTTCCGACATGAGCTTTCCATCTGCTTCAAGAGGCTTTGCTCCCCCCCCCACACACAAACACACACA